TGCCGTGCATTTATCAAGACTTTCAACCGAGGCCAATTATGGATCTTCGGATCCACATTATGTCAGCAGCTGTTCTCCACCGTGAACTCTGTTAAAAACAAACACCGCTCACGCCTCACAGATGACAGCTTACAGTCCTGCGTAAAGATGAAGGGACTTCGTACAGCCCCGATTTGCAGACGCTGTGCGCAGAGGTTCAGGAGCAGAAGTCCCATTGTAAACATACCACGGCAGACCCAACGATGTTTCCATGAACATGCTTTTTAGCATCTCTTTATTGACCACTTTTCACACACGGTTGCTGTACGTATACAGCCGGCTGTAGCTTTGCAGCTCACAGCCCGACACACACCAATAACAACAGCATAGATGGCACAGACGTTACGGCGGCGAGGCGTGATTGCGGGTGCCGCTCAGGTGCGTCTGCCTCCCCTGCAGCGGTGCTGCAGACAATGCCCCACCACACACATTAACCAGGTAAAATACATATTTAGGCAGAATTTTGCAAATATCTATTTTTCATTTTTTAGCAGCATAGTGCTTTTTTCCAATTCGTTTTTTAAAAGTCAGGTCAAGGCTCCAAAAGCCCAAAGGCGATATAAGGGTGGCAGCTCACAACAGTTTTTGTTTGCTACATGGATCGTTTGTTCAGCTGGGTGTCTTTCCTTTTGTTATATTTCTTTAAGAGTTCAAAATGTGTTAATTACATAAATAAAATGTAATTTTCTCTGTAGCACTTCATGGATTATATAACCAACACACCATAGTTGTTTATACAAAGCATAAAGGTAAAAAAACAATATATACAGTGTTATCTTCATTTTAGATGTCAGAAAGTATTTGCGGCTCCCAGTGTTTTCTTTTGCGTGGAAACCGGGTCCAATTGGCTCTTTGGGTGTTAAAGGTTGCTGACCCCTGGTGTAGGGGAAACACAGTCCAGTTATATTATGTTACACAGCCATGCCTCCCGGAGTTGACATGATTCTCATTGGATATAGAAACAGGTGCATAATCCATTAACACTGTAAATGTTTAGCTTCACGATGCCCGTCGTGTGATTGTGCTGTCTGAAAGCTTCATCTCAGGATCGCTTGAAGTAGTGTTGAGGCGCAGCAGCTGTCGGTGGTCTCCATCTGCTGCAAGGAGAGTGAAGCAGCTGAAATGTGTGCATTTTGTTGCAGGAGCAGCAGCAGCTGCTGTCTACCTACCAGAGCCTGGTGGTGAAGCAGCTGGTGAGCCAGAGCAAGAAGCAGGAGGATGACGAGGAGCAGGACGAGGAGGCGAGGAGCGCACGTGCTCAGGTCCAGACCCTTACACCGCAGGTGAAGGACCTGGTGCTGTCTCAGAGGAAGACGTCTGTTAATGAGGACTGACTGAACAGTTGAATAAAGAGGAAGGAATGTCACAGGGTTAAAGACCTGTGCTGCTTCTAGATCAGCTGGTGGTCCTGTATTTTTCTATGATTTCTCTCTGTGGGCATCATTTTAAATTATTAAAGGAAATCACTGTGTATGATGAATTTAACACAATTGTCCTCAGTGAGGTTCTGATTAACTTGCGTATTAAATGCTCTCCTCCTCCTCAGGTGAGTTGCTTCTTCTGTGACCAGCACAAATGCAGAACATTCGGCTTCACACTTTATTACTGACCTTTTTTAACATCAGATAATACAGTGGTGTAAATGAACTAAATGCTTGTACTCATGTACTGCAAATTTCTGGTTCTCATTCTTCATGCTTCATAAATGTAACATAACTGAGCTTTGAACTGCTTAAATTACATGTGGGCATAACTGGCCAATGAAGACAGTACCACATCTCCATGATGAGTCTGAGAGTGATGCATTAGGTGTGTTGTTTGTCTCCGTCTTGTGACCATTATGTGAACTTACACTAAAGTGCATGATACTGCGTTTCAACACTTGGGGGCACCAACAGCAAACAGTTGTTTGAGTGATATTGATGCAGTTATAAAAGAAAGGAAGAGCACTGCAGGAACCAAACTGAGTACACTACACACATGCATGTCACAGTCTCCATCCCAGTGGTTTCAAGCTTAACCCCAGGATTTTGCTGGTATTTGCTTCTTATATTCTACTTCATCTCAGAGGTGTTAAGGTCAGAGCTCTCTGCAGGTCAAACACATAAAGCAGTTTCCTGGAGCTCCCTTTGTACTGGAGGTTGAACAAATCTGCTCTTTTTTTTTTTTCAGTGTAAAAAAAATCATGTTTTTTTCCCTTCATCCCACCTTGAGGTGACTGGTGGTTTGATTTGGCACCACTGAAATAAAATTGAAGTGAAATTTATTAGAACCTTTACTAACCCAGACCATAAAAAAGCTGAACATATGTGTTCACACCACACCACATCCTTTACCCAATTATCAAAAGAACTTTCCTTAAATGTTAAGGCTATGTTGACTATAAGACTATAAGGAGTTATAGTCTCTTTTTGGTCACTATACAACAGAGCATGCTTCATAAATCTGCTTCTAAATCAGAGTCTGTACTGGATAGCATTGTACTCTGCCAGGGCTGACTTCTGTCACTAATTTGTGAATTTTTATATCATTATTAGTGTAGCCAGGCAAGAGGTTTCTGATTCAGTGATCTTGTGATCATGCATGCATCTAGGGGTGACTTTTGGGTCACACTGCAGCAGTTTGCACCCAGTTGCAAAGCAGAAGGGATAAAAAAAAATAGTGCCTCCAAGTCTAAGATTAAGGTGAGCTCTCTGCTCTCTTCTCTTTCCCCTCACCACCAACTGGTTGTGGTGAACAGCTACACCTCCCTGAGCCTGATTCTGCCTGATTCTAGTTTTGCAGATCATTTTCAATCCAGCCAGAGATCCCCTTCAGGATTACATCAAGAAAGGCATCTAGTGTCTGCCTGTTGTATATGATGAGCATTTCTTTTTCTTTTAATCTAGTTTATGTAAAAAATGTTCCTCTCTATTTAAAGACAATATGGAGGTTGGGATGATGCTTATCCTCATAAAGGTGGAGCTGTTGACTTTCTCATGTTTGCAACACCACAGAAAAAGTGGAAGCCTGGCATGTGGCTGCACCATCTGTAGTTTGTGGAGGCAGACACACCGTTTTGCCAGAAGAAGAGTTTGCTGAGCAGGACATGGATGTGTGAGCTCATCATACACACAAGCACATGCTCCACATTGCCATGGAAACACATCTTCTGAGAAAGGAGGCCTCTGGGCTTGGCAAGGGAGAGATGTCAAGTGAGGAATTTCATTCTAAAATAAGAGAATCCCACGCTATCCAACCCCTTTCTAAGATGGCATAATAGGTGGATGGATTGTGTATTCATGCTTAATTAGCCAATTTAATAGAAAAATAATCAGGTGTTTATGTTTCATTGTGGGGAAAGACATCTTTTCCATTTCATGCTTTCCTTACTATACTTTTAAATGTTACTAAATGACCAAATAGACAATGAATGGATCCCATTAACAATTAGTGGCTGCATATAACTGTTAAAATTGAGTCACCACAGAGAAAAGGTGAGCTTTAATGAAGACTGATATGAGCCAAACAATTCAATTCAATATATAGCACAAAATCAAAACAACATTTTATATTGGAAGGTAAAGACAAAATAATAATAGAGAGAAACCCCCAACCATCAGGCGAACACCTATGAGCAAAGAGTCAGTGACAGTGGGAGGGAAAAACTCCCCTTTAACAGTTAGAAACAAGTTAGTTAGTTAGAAACAAGACAAAATACAAACTGTGGAAGAGAGCCGAAGATTAATAGTAAGAGTTGTGTATAAACTCATTGGAAGTGAAAAGAGGTTAATTCAATTCAATTTTTTTTTTGTTTGTTTTTTTTTAGTTTTATCTATATAGCACCAAATCACATTAACAACTGCCTCAAGGCGCTTCATAGCGAAGCCAAGTCAAGCCACTCCTGCAACCCTAGTTGGATAATTGGTTGAGAATGTGAATGAATGAAAGTTGCTCACACTTCATACTTGGCATTATATTTAGCATATCTCCTGCCACATTCCTTACATACGAGCTGTATGACACTTTGGTGCTATATAAATAAGATTACATTGAACTGAAAAAGAACTGAATTAAACTGAATTGGCCCATCAACTAGGACAACTTTGCTTTGGGATATCCTGTCATGGGCAAAAACCTAAACAACATAACTTCTCCACAATAAGACAGTGATTCATGGAGGTGATTCGTGTAAATGCAAGATTCAATATTTTTTTAAATAACATAATGCATCAATTTTAATCACATTTGGCCCCAGTGGGACTGCCTCAAATGACAGCAGTTAGTCCCACACAGTTTCACAGGGTAAATTGCTCGTAGTGTCCATGTAATCCATGTTTATCTTGTCAATAAAATCAATGTTGTTGTTTACATAAAGCCCTAAAAGCCTCTCTCAAATACACCTTTGTACATCGTGTGCTGATGATTATAACGCTAGGCAGCTCTGACAGTGCATAGCAACAACTGTTTGCTAAAGCAATGCACAAGCATTCCTGATATCTAACCGACCAATCTCAGTGAACATATTGATTCATGAGCTGACAGATCACTGCTTAAGCGGTTCAGGCTTTTATTTTTATAAACTTTCAGCTCTGCCCTTGCAGGATGATTTGGATGCTGCATGACTGTCACCAAGGGCAACAAGACAAGGACTTGAGTCTTCCAACGCTGAATTTTTAATTTAAGGTGTCAGTGTTTCATAGAGGATATAGCATGCAAAGGATTCCCAGAAGATAATCTCAGGGCGTTTTCCCAATAGGATTCATAGGACACTAGTGGGTGTGAGCAACAGCCATTAGCAGCTTTACCTTATGTTAAAGTATTTACATTGGATGTGAGAAAGGAGCTTGGGTCACTTTCAAATTCACTTTCCAATTCAATCAATAGCCTTTATGTAATCACACAAAATGAAGAAATGCAACATTTCAACTATTAATAAACGTGTGATTGTTAAAAAAAAATCATAGACTGTATATAAAAAAATGAACATCAGTTATTCCAGCTGTTTTTGGACCACATTTTAATGCCTCATTATATGCACTTTGACCCCTGAAATGATGGTATCGTAAGAGCTAACGCCTGCAAATTTGATTAGCAAGTTGCTGACACAGTTTTAGAAAAAAAGAAAAAGAAACAAAAGAAAGAATGAAATGTGTAAAAATAAATAAATAACTATTAATATACAACAACCTAGTAGCTGTGCCACCAGATAAATGCTGTAAAATAATAGAATACATCACATAAAAATACAGAATTTCTCCATAATTAAAATATAGTTTTGTAACTTTAATTCACCTGAGATTTCATACATTTTTACAGATTCTTTATGCTAAATGAAAAGTTAGGTGGCACAAGTACATGTGTAAAAACAATTAAATAGCTCAGACAAGGCTGTAATATGAATAATCTGATTTTTAGTTGGGTTTTATTATACAACTTGATGTGATTTTTCTAATATTTAATATAATTAAATACCAGCCATTTAAGAAAGTCAAAATCTTGTTTTACAACTAGTAACTGACTTTATAATTACAACAAAATTCTCATTTTTGATTATAGTAATTGTAATATGGGTTTTTCCATGTCATTTAAAAAAAATCTTGTATTGTACTGTTGAAGTGCACCATGGCATATAAATATATGTCAAGAAAACATAACATAACAGTTTCAGAATGTTCGTGCATCCGCATTGCTTATCTTATAAATGGTCCATTTTCCTTGCCTAAATTTTTCTTATGGAGCTAGCTGCTTGGTAAAAGTCTTTGGGTACTCTTCCAAAGTGTTGAAAGTTCTACACTGCTCCTTTAAAAGTATCTAGACTCCACAATGGCCTCTCCATCTACAGTCTGTTTTCTTCCCACATCTTTGCAGATTTGAAAGCTAGCCAGCTGTGGTTGATGTTGCACTGCAAGCACAGTCAATGTTTACAGATATCTGCGGAATTACTGATAATCTTCATTTTTTTTTAATTGCAACAGTTTTTAAATATGCATTTGCTATGTAAAACTCGAATTTAGTAGCATTGCATATTTGTCAAATTATATTCAATTTGTGTCAATTTGAGCCATTTTCTTTAGAAAAAAAACATTACAATTTTATCATTACTCACAGCTTGTTTTCCTGATATATATGCATATCATGTATAGATACCATAGTGATGCTTTTTAATGCTGTTTCAATGAACCTGCGAGTCCCTGAGGACTTAATATGCCTCATGTGTATTTTAGAGGAACTGCAGCTTTATTCTTTACAGTCACAGTCCTTGAGGTTGCCAGATGGAAATAAGCAGAAGACTGAACTCTGGCATTCCCCTTTGTTTGGAAATAGGATTTTATTTAATGATTAACAAACAATTTATTCAATTTTACTTATAAAGTGCCAAATCACAATGACAGTTGCCTCAACGCAAAAGAACACACAACTTAACTGGAGTCTGTTTAGTTTGTCAACAGAGTGACACTCAGTTGAAATAATGTCAGAGCAGTACACACAGAAGGATATTCACAAGTGGCCCCTTGACTTTTCCTCATCTGCTTAGGTGAACATCCCCGTCTACATCCATCCTCTGTCACCATGCCTCCTCATGAGACATCTGCAGGTTCCTGTTGCTTAGTAATAGTCTTCAGTGCTATGATTAAAGTGAGCTTCAAAGCTCTGGACACGCTCATTACTCACAGCAGCCTGCATAATGAATCCCTGGGAGGAAGATGATTAAGAACAGCATCCTTTGTAATCAAGAGTGTGGTGGGGATCAAATTCGTCTTAGTGTTCAGTCTATCTGTGCCTCAGCCATCCGTAGCAGGT